TAATTAAACATGTGACATGCACAAGTTCCCAAACGAAACAACTAATGAAACACAGTCTATGGTCAATTATCTAATTAAGAATAATCTGATTCGTAATCAGCGGGGGCCTCGCACTTACCCTGTCGGACAAACTAAACTAAGCCAAAACACTGGCCAGAAAGGTGGATAAAAAAAAAAGGGAGGGCTACTGACCACTCACTTCAGCTGCTACTTATGGACTTAACAACCCCTCTTATATATATATAAAGATTAAAGAATCCAACGTATCAATGGCTCGATCGGTAGAACTGTCAAATGAGATATGATAGCGGTTCGCTTGTTTCGATAGTTAGGAATGAGTCGAAAGGTCTTTAACAATTGAACATGGAACAAGAGGAATCACTCTGATTTGATTGATCCACTATTTTGACCACACTAACAATAGTAAGTAAGCAACCTTAATTACTAATATTATTAGTTATGCTTCATCTTCTTCAAAATTCTTACTCTAATTTCGCCGGAAAGCCTTCGCCATTTAATAAGTAATGCCATATATATATCTCAGTCGCGGATGCTAGAAATAGATTACGAATAATTTTATTATTTTTTATTGCTTTTATTGTTGTTCTAGTATATTTCTTAGTGTAATTTTGTTTTCTAGGAGTCTACTTTTTCTTATTTGTTGCACCTCGAATTGGAATCACCTACGGTGGAGGAGATAGGTTGAACCCAAAAGGGGATACAACTCTCCTAACATTTGAAATATAGATAAAATTCCATGTAAAATTCGTAAGAAATTTAGGAAATAGAGTAGTCGATAACGTCTTAGTCCTCTCCCCCAATTATCACGATTCAAATCAGCCCCTCATTCGAATTCCTTACTCCGCCACTGATCACCTATTATATATGTTCATTCCGAGCGATCCAATACTTGCATTCATTAGAATAATGGGAGCTTGTTGTTGACCGCATTGCTCGAAAGGAAGAATGTTTGGTCGAAGTTGAAAAGCAAAACTTGATTGATTGATTATATATAGAAGAAGGTTGTGCTCTTTCTCTTTATTGAAAGTAGGGCTGGCTATTTGGACCGGGATCGGATGAAAAATCGGAAACCGGGCCGTATGACCCGGACCGAGACCGGACCGGGACCGGATAATAAACAATCCAATCCAATCTTTGGGCTTAGATTTGAGATAAAAAACCGGATAAAGACCGGATAAGAGAGCTCAACACCCAAAACTTAAGGGTAATTTGCATAAACGGTCACAAACCTTTGCACTTAGTACAAAACTTAACCAACTCCTCACCCTTTTAGGCCTTAGGCCACTCAAATTCCCACAATCTCAATATAAAATCAAGACCGAATTGGGACCAGACCGGGTCAAGACCGGACCGGATCAAGACCGGACTGTATCCAATCCAATCTTCGGTCCTTATATTTTCAAAAAAACCGGACTGGACCAGATCAATTTGGGCCAATTTAACCGGACCGGACCGTATAGCCACCCCTAATTGAAAGTGTAGGCATTCACACTTTGGTGTTTGTTTCAAAAATCAGTAGCAAACTAACAAGGCAGAGGCATATGTTTCAGAATTGTATGGAAACTAATTGCACTTTACTTATTTTGTTTCACAATTTATTATGGTTATTTTGTTTAAAAGTTAAAACTAATAATTATATCAGGCGTAGTTTGTATTATTTTCTTCGTGACGAGAATATATAATGAAGCTTAATGGATCAGGTTGGGTGTGCTTTTTACCAGAAACATGATGTATTTGTAACAATTATTGCAAGTCAAAGCTTCCAACCTGCCACGTGCTATGGTGATGGGAGCATTATATTTGCGGATCATTTGTATTGATGATAATGGAGAATATACAATTGTGTAAACCCAATATTTGACTTAATAGTGCATTGTGTAGTTAGAAAGAATTACGTTATAAACGCGCTGCTACGGATCGGGAAATCACCGGAATCGACAAAGCAAGAATACGAAAGCGAGAATCGAAAAACACAGACACACGATTTACGTGGTTCACTAACACGATGTGTGTTAGCTACGTCCACGGGCGAGAGAGAGCCAGTTTCACTATATCGAGGAGATTACAGATTACAGAGGAGTATGAGAAGTATATATAGTACTTCTCCATGTGGGTCTAAACCTAATCCAATCTGACAAAGGAAACGGTTACAGACCAGGCCCAGAACCTGAACCCAAATAACATTGAGACCCCCGATTACCAGTCGTGGCGGCTGATAATCCGATTCAAGTCATATCAACAAATCTCCACCTTGACTTGAATCCTCTTCCTCTGAAATCTCTGATGTACTCTGCTCCTTCTCTCTCTCCCGCCATCAATGCCCCGTAGGGCGGAGTCACCCACTCAAGACATTCAGCAAGTCCAAGCAGTGTTGGAACTTGCCATGTGGAACCGGCTTCGTGAACATATCAGCAGGATTATCCGCGGTGCCAACCTTCTTCACCTTAATCCTCTTTTCTGTCCTCAAGAAATGATACCTCACATCGATGTGCTTAGTCCTCTCATGGTGTACTTGATCCTTGGCCAAGCATATTGCACTCAAACTGTCGCAATACACCACTGCCTGATCATGATGTAGACCCAGATTACCAGTCGTGGCGGCTGATAATCCGATTCAAGTCATATCAACAAATTAAGTGGGACTTTATAAAACTAAATCAGCATTAACAATTGAATGATTTAAGTCGAGTCTTAGAGAGAGAGAATTTTTGGGTCTGATGATTAAAATGTCATGTCTGTCACATTTAAGTGGCTAGCTCACCCGGTTTGGTGAGTGGTCAGTTGACAGGGTTAGGCTCGCATGGAGCCTAGCCATCAAGATTAAGCAGGGAGGTGAGTGGCAAGGAGACTAAGTATAGAGCATAGGCTGTGAGGATCTCATCAATGAGGCGGGATGGCTCTCGTTGCTAAGGCCATCGAGATTGACAAAGAAATTATGAAGCTGAGACATGACCCTAATAGACAAGGCCAACGACGAGGCGTTAACAAGTCACCACAATGCTTGGAAGAGCAGTTATCAAGCAAATAGTTCTCCATGAAGCCATGATGATTGATATCATGGCTATGAATAGAAGAAATAAGGACTCAAGAATGGTTCTCGAAACGAAAACTGACACCACTTGTCAAGATTCATTTTCCCCCTTCTTGTCGTAGTCATAGTTATGGAGTTCTCTTTTTCAAGAATGATTCTCCATAGAGCTAGATAGAGTAGTGTAGTTGCGAAATTCTTAACGCATTTCTATAGAGGTAGATTTTACCTAGATTTTAGCATCAAACACCGGGACATTGACACTAAATTGAAACATATCATTTTCACTCCCCTTTTCTAATCAAATAGAAGACAAAATCTTGGAATACATCTTTCACAAACACCTCAATTGTCAAAATTCATACTTTTTAATGTACTTGCTTACGCACCAAATGACTCTTTTGTTATGAAGTGTAAATAACATAAAAACATTGGCAACAACTAGAGAAGGTCTAATTAGTCATTAGTGGGATCATTTTGCTTGTGTGCCATTGGCTATTAGGGATTCTCATACTGTTCATATTCCCTCTGCTATATTCTCATCCGGATTAACGAAGGTGTGTTGAAGATAGATAGAAGAGGCCAAACTCAGTGGATTAGCTAGATAGGACTTGTTAACCGAAAGGGAGCATATAAACATGGATGGGATAGGACAGTTGAAGTACTGTTGCTTAAAATGAGGCAAAGTCTTGAGAACAATCGAACATCTCTAGTCGATGATTATTAGGTACCCCTATCTTCTTTTATTAATTTTGTTGAAATTGGCTGGTGTGTTGTTTGCACTTTGCACTTGCATGCATCATCATGTGCTTTTATTAATTTGGTTGGTTGGCCACTTACCTTATTTTGGTTGCAATCACACATCCCACTTTGATAACCCCAAATCTTACCCATATCCTTCTTTGCGTAAATTGGTCCCATTTCTAGGAGGGACATGACATGATATACATGTACTATATGCTTTTTCAGTTTATGGTTCCACGAAGGAAAATCATGCATTTCGTCTCTCGACTCAGACCATGATCCATATTTCGTCCGAGGTGATTGAGTGTATGGGAACAATTGTGACAGGTCAATAAGGGTGTGACCCTGATATGGATTTTGGAGCCGACGGATGAGATGAAAACGAATATAGCGATATTGGCTCCTCTTGTTACTTAAGAGTGTCGAATTGGAGCCAAGACAATGTACAACTTTGAGGTAACGGTGGGTACTAACCCAGACGACGTCCTCTCCTGTCATTGGTATCGACGTTCTGAGTTTTGTTGAAGCAGTTCATGGGTCATTAGCTTATACGCCAAAAGCTCATGCAAAGTATTCCAAAGAGTTAAGACAAATTTATTCAGATAATTTGACCTATCACAATATCCAATTCAACGTCATGCTTTCCCATGTTAATGAAATCCGCTATCCTTCAATCCTTGATACGATTTTCCACCTCGAGTTAAGTATTGAAGAGTGTCATCTTAAGAATCAAATAGTAGAAACCAATAGACCAACCATCTAACCTCAATTCCTCGACTAGGTTATCCAAACGGTTCTCGTGTTTGGTGATTAAGGAGTCTAAGAATCTATTTCTAGACAATCTCCATATTCCAACAAATTTCTAAACTTAGGACGCGCTTTCTAACTTCAGACCGATGACAATCAAACACAAAAAAAAACAATAATTTATCTTAATTACCCCAGCTACTTGTCTTAAATTATAAAGTCTAGAACCCTAGAACCAGTTCCACCAATTCAAACAAAGAGGAGTTCACTTATAATCAAAGGTTGAGACATAATAACAATAAAAATGGAGAAACTTATTTTGGATAGAAATCGCCTTGCTATTGAGCTCTAAACCAATCAAATTGGGCCTCTTTACCTACGAAACCAGTCTCATTTGATCCTCTGCTGTGGAAGGCACTGAAAAATCCATTATGAGCGAATCAGTAGCGGTTTTTCCAGCCAAAGTAAGAAAGCCCGTATCACGGAGCCACGGCCCAAATCGCACTACGCCCCACCAGCCCAACACTCCGCGGAAAACGACACAGCGCTTCATTTCAAATCCAGTAAACAAAGCCGTAATAAGGAAACACGAGAGACGCACGCCTTTCCCCCACCACTTCATCAATTCAACGCTTTTCTGACCATTTTCTGCCTCGCCGGCAACCGGCGCTTCTTTTGTCTCTTTCTCTTCCCAGCATCTGCTGACCTCAACGATTCCCAACTCTCCTCTCATAATGTCAATTTCCTTCGTACACCAGACCTTCTCCTTCCTTCCCTCACTCCCTTTCCTTCTCTTCAGTCCTTTGCTATGGCCACTTCTCCTTCATCGCCGCCTCCGCTGCGGCTGCTGCTTCCGGCCATCTCCGTCCTGCTCCTGTCTTGTATCTTCTCCTCGAGTGAATCGGCGACGGTCGGCGTCGGTTCGATTTCGCGCCTCCTCGAAACTCAGGATCGCGAGCGAGCTCCTCCTTCGGTACAGGTAGCTGCCGCTCGAGGTGTTCTGCGTCGGCTGCTTCCTTCTCACTCTTCCAGCTTCGACTTTCGAATTGTCTCCAAGGTTTTTTTTTTTTTTGTTTCTACTTTCTTCTCTCTTCAGTGTGATTGATTCTCTTGTCGAATGATCTGTGAGAGCTAGCCTTCAGTTTACTTGATTGGGCGCTTCCGTTCTCAATTCGTTTAATTTGGTGTTCAGGAGCAATGTGGAGGCGAGTCCTGCTTCATTATCTCGAACCATCCGAATTCCGCTGGACCTGGCACTCCAGAGATACTGTACGTGAGATTGTGGTTGAATTGTTCAGTAATTTATTTACCTACAGAATGATGTTGTTGTGTAATCGTTGGTGCTTGGAGGCCTGAATTTTTCATTTCCGTCAGGATTTCTGGGGCCACCGGAGTGGAAATGGTGGCTGGTTTGCATTGGTATTTGAAGAACTGGTGTGGCGCGCACTTATCTTGGGCTAAGACTGGCGGTGACCAACTGAATTCAGTGCCTCAGCCGGGCTATCTTCCGCGTGTTCAAGATGATGGCGTCTTGGTTCAGAGACCAGTTCCATGGAATTATTACCAGAATGCTGTTAGCTCTAGCTGTAGGTTCCTCATTGGTGTCTGCTGATGCCCTGTGTTCGAAGGGTTTTTTTTCTTCTTTCTTTTCTTCTTTGTTTGCTGGAGAACTTCTTTTGGCTGATGTCAGTTGGATCTGCATGTTGGTATCCTTTTTGCTTTGTAGATACTTTTGCGTGGTGGGACTGGAAAAGATGGGAGAAAGAAATTGATTGGATGGCTCTCCATGGCATCAACCTACCATTAGCATTTACTGGCCAAGAAGCTATTTGGCAAAAAGTTTTCCAGGTCCTTGCTCCCCTGCTGTCCTATGTTTCTTCAGTATGAGCTTGGTTCAGGCTTCGAGTTTCAGTTCTAGCTAATAGTTTACACTCAACTTGCATCAGAAAATAGATGATTTTTCTATGAAAAATCATGTTGGTTTCCATAAGTTTTATCTGGAAACTACTCCATGTTCTTAGGTAAAGAAAAAGGAGAATAGCATGAGGAAGTTGGACCTAGTTTGATCTGCAAACTAATTCATGCTTCTTCACTGTGTAAACTCTTGTGTGTGGTAGTCTTATTTTTGCCTTTACATTCAGCAGAAGTTCAATATCACCAAAGCTGGTTTGGATGATTTTTTTGGTGGCCCGGCATTTCTTGCATGGTCACGGATGGCAAATCTCCATGGGTTAGCTATCACACCTTTCCTATTGTTTGGAATATTTCAGAACCTGTCTGTGCCTCTTTAGGCTATATGTTTTTCTATTTTCATTCTCAGGTCTGATACAAACCTGTTTGTATTGCAGATGGGGTGGACCACTACCACAAAGTTGGCTGGACCAACAATTAGTGATGCAGAAGAAAATACTTGAAAGAATGTATGAACTTGGAATGACTCCTGGTAAGAAGTTTGGTAGTTCTTGTGCATAATGTGATATGAAGACATTGTCTAGGCTTGGGGAAGGATTACATGTTAATCTTTGTTATATTTATTTCCAACCTCGACTATTTGCTCTATAGGTTCGCTACTCCTTTTTTGTTTAATCGAGTAGTTATGTTAAAAATGACTCAATTTGAGGGAGGACTGAGTCATTTTAGACCAGTTTTAAACTACACTACAAATAGTGGCCTGGACTAACCAATTTCACAAGATACTCTGGCTGGGTTTCCTACTCTTACTGTTGTTATGTCTACAAATGGTAGTGTATCTCATGCCTGTACCCTATTGGTGATATCTTAAGCAAAATGCTAATTTGTGTCGACATCATGATTGGGGTTTTAAAGGTTGGACCTATTTTGGTCGTCTTCCTGAGTCTTGTTCACTAACCTCTGTGGGAACAACGGTTCCCATGGGTAAATATGGTATGCAGTCCTCCCAGCCTTTTCTGGAAATGTTCCTGCTGCTTTCATAGATCTATTTCCATCAGCAAAGATAATGCGCTTGGGGAATTGGTATGTTCCGTAACACTCTAGTTCCGATACTGGATTCATGGTTTCCTTAGCAGAAATTGCAATCTCAGTTTTTACAACCTGTCCTAGGTTTTCTGTTGAGAGCAACCCAAAATGGTGCTGTACATATCTTCTTGATGCAACGGATCCCTTGTTTGTTGAGATTGGAAGGGCATTCATCGAGGAGCAAATAGAAGGTGTTTATCTAATCCGTGAGCTGGTCCGATCATTCTTCTTTATAGAATCAAGCATGGAACTTTTCTCTTATTTTGTATGACGGTCGAAAGTTTTTTCTGTTCAGTGTATGGAAGAACAAGCCACATATACAACTGGTGAGATTTAACATTTTTATCCTGACAACTTACATTGAGAAGATTATTTTCCTTGCAGTTTATTGGTGAAGAGTTTTGTGCATGAATTGGCTTTATCTTTGTTGTTGTTTTATTGTTTACTTTTTGCTTTCTCGTTACATGAGTACCTTTTTTTAGGTTAAAAGTACTCATCTCCACTGGTCTGTTGAATCATTTACAGTGACAACTTTGATGAGAATACTCCGCCCGTTGATGACCCTGAGTACATCTCTTCACTAGGTGCTGCAACCTTTAAGGGAATGCAAAGTGGGGACAGTGATGCCGTCTGGCTGATGCAGGTGATGCAACAAGAGTGTTAGTTGTCCAGCTATAATGGCTTATCAGAAGATTGAGTTACATATATCTATAATAAGTTAACAGTGCATGTCAGTCAAAAGGCAGTTCCTTTAGGTCCTTGTTTGCAGGATGGCTGGATTTTCAGATGGCAGTGTGTCTTCCTGGACATGAACTTCCATTTGGTTTGACTTTATATATGTTGCTTCACTTGCAGGGTTGGCTGTTCGCTTATGATCCATTCTGGAAGCCCCCACAAATGAAGGTTGTTCTCATTATGTTTGCATTTTCGTTAATGTCCTTGAACTACTTAAATGTTATATATCATCAGCATTGTGGTTTTTTTCTTGTAGAAGTATATAGATACACATTGGTGCTTTAAAGAAAGTTGTCCTAGAACCTTTTTGTTTTGATTTGAATGGTGAAATGAAACCTATATGATCTATACTTTTGCAGGCACTTCTACATTCAGTACCCCTTGGGCGGCTCGTAGTTCTTGATTTGTATGCTGAAGTGAAACCTATATGGAGTATTTCAGAGCAATTCTATGGTGTTCCTTACATTTGGTAAGTACCTATTCTCTTGAAGCTGTTTTTCAAGTCAATTATGTGTTACATTAGCTGCAAATATATTTGTTAAAAAGTCATTAAAAGATGGTTTTCCCCTTTTCTCTGTCTCACCTACATTTACATCTTGCACTCTGGTTTCCAGGTGTATGCTACATAACTTTGCTGGAAATGTAGAGATGTACGGCCTGTTGGACTCTGTAGCTTCTGGACCAATTGAAGCTCATCAAAGTGAAAATTCAACGATGGCAAGTGCACACTCTCAATTATTGCTCCCTCTAAATGAAAACGCTTAGCATGGTTGATAGGGGTCATAATTTTCATCTATCATCAGATCAATTGCTTTGCTCCAAAATTTCAAAACAGTTAAGTACTATTACTGAAAGCACTCGTGCAGTCTAAATTTTATTGTAAGTGATATGTGAACATTATTAATCATTGGAAGGACTTGGAGTGTCAAGTGCAACATCCTCTGGCAGTAAGTTCGCAACTGCTCTACAGAAAAAATGTTGTATCTGCCAGGATGAGATTGAAAGCTCCAAGTAATTGAGTTTTTTCTTTTTCTAGCTTTATCATTAAAAATCATATGGGATTAGATGTTGCTGTGGATGTCACCAAACTTCTGCAGTTTTGTCAAACACCAACGTCTTGTCATTGCTGTTGTAACCAACTATTTCGGCGTTTCAGCTAATTACTTTTTTGTTGTTGTTGCTATTTGAAGGTTGGTGTTGGAATGTCGATGGAAGGTATAGAACAAAATCCTATTGTTTACGATCTCATGTCTGAAATGGCATTTCAGCATAAAAAGGTTGATGTGAAGGTAATGTCAAACCTGTAATATGTGTGTTATGAAGAATCAGTATGATGTTTTCCCTGTTAAATTTATGATAATGAGCTCTCTCTTTTCTAGGCTTGGATTGATCTATATTCTACCAGACGGTATGGCAAGTCAGTCCCTCTAGTACAAGATGCCTGGAATATATTATATCACACTGTTTACAACTGCACTGATGGTGCTTATGTAAGTCTCCAACTTGTTCCATTGAAAATGAAACAATCTACCCCATTTTCTTCTAAATATATTTGCTTCCTCAATTTATGCAACACCTCGACCAAATGTGCAGGACAAAAATAGGGATGTAATCGTGGCATTTCCTGATGTGGATCCATCCTTCATCTCGACATCACTGGAGAGTTACCAGAACAATGACAAGCCGACACTAAGAAGATCTATCTTACAGCAGGATTCTGGTTCATATGAGCGACCCCACATTTGGTATTCACCTTCAGAAGTTATAAGTGCCCTGGAACTTTTCATCAGATGTGGTGATGAATTATCCGGAAGTAATACCTACAGGTCAGCCTACCTCTTGGACTCTCAGAAGCTTGGTTCGTGCATACTATACAGTCTTGCTTAAAAACCGTCTCGAGATGTGTTTTTATTTGCACACTAAATTGTAGGTACGACCTAGTTGACTTGACAAGGCAAGCTTTGGCAAAGTACGCGAATGAGCTGTTTCTAAAGATCACGAAATCCTACGAATTAAAGGATTTCAATGGAGTTGCATTGCACTCCCGTAAGTTTGTGGGACTTGTGGAAGACCTGGACTCCCTGTTGTCATGCCACGAAGGGTTTCTTCTTGGGCCTTGGTTAGAGGATGCAAAGCAGCTTGCAATGGACGAAGAACAAGCGAAACAAGTGAGGAATCCCTTTCAAATGCATATTAATCACTATGTACTGTTGTGCCTTAACAATTCATCCCAAGTCGTCCCGTTTTGCAGTTTGAATGGAATGCAAGGACTCAAATAACTATGTGGTATGACAACACCGACTACGAAGCAAGCCTTCTTCGCGACTATGGTAAAAATCGACAAATGTTTATCCAGTCTCTAATTTCTACGGTCAGTTGAGCTCTCGCGTAACCTGGGGTTACTTATAATGTAGGGAACAAGTACTGGAGTGGGCTCCTGCGAGACTACTACGGGCCACGAGCAGCTATTTATTTCAAGTACTTGTTAGAGAGCTTGGAGAACGAGCACAGCTTCCGGTTGAAGGACTGGAGGAGGGAGTGGATAAAGCTGACGAATGAGTGGCAGAATAGCCGGGGTAAGTTCCCCGTCGGAAGTAATGGGGATGCTGTCTACTTGTCGCGGCGGCTATACGAGAAGTACCTGAAGAATCACTCCGGCGGTGTGGCACTGTGAGCACTCTTGAGTTAGTTTTGTTCCTGAATGGCGTATAATTTCCAGATACTGGTGGTATTGAACATGATACAAGAATGGTCATGTCTTGGCTGAGAGAAAGCTATGCCCTACTTCTTTGTTCCTAAACCAACCTTGATTCATAGCTACGAAGTGTTTGTGGACTGTGGTTAAGCTGCGGTAGGCTTCCCATACTCTTATCAAGGACCAATCCACCATGTCAAGCCAAGCGACTCTCTTAAGGTGCTCACGACGTTCCACTAGAGTAGCAAATAAATTGGGTTCATAGATTGGTGGATTGTATTTACAGTTATGAAGTTAGTCTAGAGTCCCTCAAAAATTCTGAAAGTTACATATAAACTTGATATGATCTTTGAAAATTACGTTCATCTGAAAGAATTTTTTACTACATTACTTCGTGTGCAAAAGAGAGATACGAAGTGCGGTAATTGTGGTGATCTAATCTCTACTAAACATAGTTTTGAATCCTAGTGTTCAGAGTCGCGTAGCCAGGATTATGTCTAAGGTGGGTCCAATTAAAAGAAAAATATACATGATAAAATAGTTTTTGTTAACTTTGCTAGTCATTCATGATATAATCTTATATTGGAAAATCTTGGTAAATTAAAATACATTAGCTAGTCGAAACTATCAAGAATATCGTTCTGTGCACCAAACAATTATTAATGATTTAGTTGGCCATTCTTTTTCTATTGTTCTTTGTTAATAACCGTTTAGTAGCAATAGATTAGATCAATATGTTGAAAGAAGTTCAATAATAAATCTTACACAAAACAATAATTCATGATTTAGTTAGTCGTCCGCTTTCGAATTGTGTTCTTTGTTAAAAACAATTTAATATCAATAACTCGGGTTGTTGGGAGAGGTTCAATAATATATCGTATACCATTTACTAGCACGCTCCCTCATAACAAAGCCAACTTATACGAAATTGAATGTTTCACAAATGAGAATACCGTGTGGTTAAGAAATGAGATCGCCAAGATCCGAACACAAGACTTTTCAATAAGCTATTCTCAATTAGTCACCCCCTAATTTATAATATCTACCAATTTAACCATTTTCCTTCTAAACCAGGGGTCCCGAGACCCACCCTATTATACTCTCCCTCTGCCATTGCGAGTGTTAGCTAATTTGTTTCTTTTTTATTTCCAGTTTTACTTAGACATAAAAGTGTAACTTAGCTGACAGCTTTCAGATTTTTATTTTAGAAAATCTTTGAATTACAGTAACTAATTCCTTAGATTTTCATTTTCAAATTTTTTACTACCATTTTTGCTATATAATAATTAAATTGTACTTAGTGGGTATTTTTTTTACTGCTATAAAATTGTTAAAAACATGTTAGCGATTGAAATGTATTATTGATTTTTAAAAGCGGGGTTTTCTAAAATTAAATTTTAGTGTAAGCATGTGCCAACACAACCATAGCCAAATTCCTTACGTTCGTTGGGGTTATTGGAGTTCTAGAAGCGGGGGTTTTCTAGAATTTGAAGACGCCAATTCTCATTCTATGCTTATTCTAGAAGTGGACTTTCTTGTTGTATATAACCCAATAATTTTGCATGAGAACTCCGTGATCCGTGATCTTATGGCATGGTAACAATTAATGGTTGAAAAAATGTGACCGTATAAAATTCGTAAATATTCATATTTGATGAATTAAATTGCTAACTGAATTCATATTTATTTTTTAAATAAATGTATTTTATATATTTTATAATTATTAACGTACTATTAAACGTATCATTAATTTAAATCGTACATGGAGACTTTATCTTCCCGGCAAGGGATCATACGTGTGTTTTGTCTAAACTTTTCTATGAACTTTTGTTGGTGTAATTTTATTTTAATATTCGGGACAAATACACACAATACCAAGGGGAAAATACGTACGAAGACTCAACCAACGCGCATGCAATGCAAAGCAAAAGCATATTCGAACCAATTGGCGGCGTTGATGATTCGTTATTTTCATTTAAAACGTTTCGATTAAAAGAAGCTTTAAATCCCATCTTTCCGTTACAATACTATCGACTTTGATTGTCAGGCCGGCCATTGCCACGAAGTTTCCGAGACCGGCAGAATCCGCCGCGTCGGCGGTCACACGGCGAAGGTCGCCGCCTCAGCACCAGCCTTGTCACCGCTTACGGAGGGAATTTCCTTGCCGTCCCCGTTTTACCCAGCTAACACAGACAGATATAATAATAATTAAGATATATAACAACATATGACTTGTGGATTGCCACCGGCGAGGCACTATATTTTCCCACATTTTGACCAACATTTTAGATGCTTCTAGAATCCAGTCGATTCCCCGCAAGTTTACACTTTTGCCCCTCGTGTTCTATTTCTGCTTTGCTACGGATACTTCCCACTCATTTGCTCTTCTACTGCATCACAAAGTGTATGTGAACGAATAGGGGTGGCTTCCATTTTCAATCATTGTTTTTTTTTTTTTTTGTCTTCCTCACATTAATTTCCATGTATGTCAGAATTCTTAGATATGCCATATGGGATTTTGATTCAATTCAGATACGGAATCTTATTTGTTTTTATAGTTTTGTAAACAAGCCAATTTCTAAAATCCGATATGAAAATATGTTTTTTTTTAGAGAAATAGAGTGGGAAGTTTTCGCGAATGTTAATGGTGGGATTATATGTAGATTATTCTTTTGTGAGATCCATGAAGGTGTTTTTCCCGTCTATTGAATTCGGTTGTTGCAAACAAACATATTTGTGATCACCCCCTAAACGTATAGCAAACTGTACAACGCAGGTGGAAGAATTTGCTAAAGGAGTTGGAGAATCTGAGCTTTTTCCCACACTATATATCGTATCTACAATATCAAGTGAACTCCATCCTCGTGGTTGCAATGGATGACATATGCCACCAGCCACCTTCAAGTAGTAGCTAGCAATCTCCCAACAAGAATGAATTACATAATGGCCAATTCTTTCATCGTCAGTTCAGAAAATTGGTCAGTGTAAATTCAAATCATTTACATTTAAAGATAATTACTTGTGTGATACCTGTTGGAATAAATAGCACGATTGTATCGAACGTGAAGGCTATCATCACTCAAATGTAAGGCCTCTTTACGAGTTAAGGTTAATGTTAGACATATAATTAGTAGAATAATAATAATTAATAATGTTAGTTAAGTAGGGTTAGGCAGCTAACCTAGGCTGATTAGGTTAGGATTAGTTTATTAGAGTTTTGAGTTTATTTCCTATAAATATATGTATTTTGGGGTTTACGTCATAATCAATCAAGAAATCAATGAAGAAAAGTATTAAGCAGCGTATCTCTCTTAAACCTAATCTCTCTCAACTCCTAATTTCTATACTCTCCTAATCCAAGCGATTCAGGATTCGGGCATTGCTATTCGTCGCCCTAAAAATCCTTATTCGTCGCCCTAATTATATTAAATTTACTGTAATGTCCTTGTTTTTTTTCTTTTTTTCTTTTAAACTCTAAAACAATAACCATATAATCAAGGTGGTCGAGCACCGTCCACATGTATGGAGAGGGAGGCTCAGATTTAGAATTGCGACCGGAAGCTCTACCGTGCATGGCTGCGACAAACGGTTGCCGGCGTGAATCAGATGTCCCGTAAATCCGGTGTCCACCCGACATGGAATCGGCGGCTCCGCCGCTACTGAGCCGGGAGCTCGCGGAAGATCCAAAAGCTATCAATTTTTTTTTTGGCAGACAAAAGCTATCAATTTCATTGTCATTGCCTCGTGTTTAATAGCAGAGAGAACCAAACAAATAGGAAAGGAGGAAAAGAGGAATCAGAGCTAGCTAAAGTTGTAATTCAATAACCACTTCAATAACCAAGTCACATTCACAAACACACAACAATCAGAACGGCAGCGACAGGTTTGGGTAACGGCAGCGGCCGCCGGCAATCGGCTGTGGACGGGACGACACAAGGAGGTAGCGCTTAGGGAAATTAGAGTTAGGGGTATACACGTCAATTTAGTATGGTTTAGGGCGATTTTTTTTAAAATTTAGGGCGACGAATAGCGATTCAGGATTCTATTCTGTTCTTCTCATCTAAATACCTAATTCTGTCTCTCAACCCCCATATCCCTATTTGTTACGAGTAGTTACGGGTGCCGAAGATCAGTATTGAGAATCCCTAACAAGAGGGTTCTTTCAGTTTAATCTTCCGCATTGTCCCGTTTCAAACCCTAGTTTGGGTACCCTTTCGCAATGAAATTTTTATTTCATGCCGAAAAAGGAAGAAAAGAAGATGAAAGGGTGTAGATTGCACTTAGTCCAGGGGCAAAAACGTCAAAAGGGGTGATAGCAGCTAGCGTCAAAACAGAAGTCTGTGCTCTTTTTCTTCTCTTTCGGCCATTCGCATCCAGAAAGAAAAGAATCTATAAATCTTCCACGCACCTTCGCCAATTTCCTTTCCCGCGGGCTTGCCGAGTTGGACCCGGCGACTATTTTTCTATTCCTAATAATACTCCCATTTCTTCTTCATCCGTCCATCCAATTCGTTTATATATTTGGTAATCCCAAATTCCCAATCTCAATCCAAACGCAAACCCATTTCCCTCTTCTCCATTTCCAGCTAACACAAGAAAAGAAGCAATACCAAACCCAAAAAACAGAGCTTCCCCTGCATCCCTCTGTTTTCTTCTTCTTAGCTCTCTGTTTCTCCGTCTCTGCACTTTTCTCTCATTTAATGGCAGGAACCAACGGTTCGTCGTACGGTACATCCTGGGCCGACCAGTGGGATTCCGGGCCGGACCCTGTCTACCATCCCGACCTCCAAAAGACCAACAACGGCGGCGGCGCGGCCAAGTACAAGCAGAAGGTGGGAGATGGGCTGGGGAAGACCAAGACGGTGGCTTTGACAGGGATGAAGAAGGTCAAACAAGGCTCTTGTGTTGGGTTCCATTGGATCAAGGACAAGTACCAGAAGACCACCCAGAAACATTGATTTTACTGCTTGCGACCCACCATTAGCATCACCCGATTCTTTCTCTGTTTATATTGCTACTCTGTTTTGTGGGAGTTTTTTTTAGTTTTTACCTTCTTCTGATGGCACGGACTCTGTTTTATGTACCACATATATTGGTTTGTTGTTAATTGATGTGACGATTAGTTTGTTGCTCAATGTTATTGTTCTTAATCTTGTTCTACGATTTTCGGATCGATTCGATTGCTGAATGGGGTGTTTACATCTTCTCGGTTAGTAAATTCGTGATCAATCAACTACAGAGCGCGAAATGGAATCCAGTAATGAAGAAAACCAGGAAATTTTGAACGTAAGTATGAGGTAGGTAACCATAGTATTTCTTTAAGAAGAAAACTGAAGGAGCTATTTAGGTGAGCTAACTGGGAAGACGGTTACTTGTGGGAACAACAACTAAAAAGAATTATGCTAATTTCCAAAGTAATCCTGTCATTTCGACGAAGTATTATTTCATAATCTAGAAATGAATTGATCAACACGGACGATTAAAACTAATAAAGCTGCTGATAAGGCCAAAGCAAGTCCTGCTGCTTCTTCTTTGGATATCACTAAGTGTGTGTGTCACTAGTCTTCTTTTTCATCGTCAATCTGGAGAAAGAAGAAGAAGAAGAAGAAAAAAAAAAAACGATAACAACAAAGGAGAACGATCAGAAAAATGACAATTGTGGATTATCTTGCTTCGAATGAACTCAAAAACAGAACTTACATGGATCTTTCTCGGCAACCCATTTTTTGTAGGATACTGTTGTCGTTGCTGCAGCTTACTGTCAGCTGCTGAAGCTATGGTGCTGGCTGCTTTGCCGATGCATTTCACCGCACACTTAGGGTAACACATCATCAGCCAAGCGCCTGACTGCGCACAATCGATCAGGCAAAGTGCATAGCATTCCTCGTACGAGGCCGCGGATTGCATCGCCAACATCCCCAGCAACAGGCAAACGATTAGCCCAGCTGCTGCTGATCTACTACTTGCTGCCATCTTCACTGCTCTGTTTTTTTTTCCCCCCACCGGCCGCTAGCCTTTTTTCTTATCTCAAGTTAGATTGTTGTTTCTGATAAACACTTTTTTTCATTGCGTAGTGAGAGGTTTATATAGCGGTTTTGGCATTCAAGGAGATGATTGCATGGAGATACTGTTGAAAGGAGATGATTGATGGTGTCCAATCTGATTCTGTGGCATTCTATTGCATTCTACATGGAAATAATTCTCCTCGATTTAGAGATACCGACATTACTATGTATATCCATGCCACATCTAATCATTCATTTCTAAGTTTAAATATGGCATCTTTTTGGTTATTACACATGGATCTTAGCATTCAAAATCAACAATCACAGGCTTGCGGAACAATAACCAAATAAATTCAGGTGTTCAGTCCAGAATTCAAAGAATTTACAAGGCTTTGGCATTGTTTTCAGCGGAGGTTTAGTGACTATTAGCTCTCCACAGTGATTTGAGAAGCCTGTGGAAGAAATATTCAATTTTTTTAGGACCCTTTTTAGGTATATGACGAGATGACTAATACGAGACAGGAATTGAAATTATGTACACACAGTTGACATTTTGAATAGATTATATATCAAAACTAGCTTTTTACCCGACCCGTTGGTCGGATGAATTTAGTTTTATTTATTATATTTTTATATTAATCTATTTTTTCATATTTTCAAATAATTTGGGATCGTCTAATTAATTTATTAATGGGTTGAAATTAATATTTGTGCGAATTATTGATTGTAACATTAGTTAGTTTATAAGTATTTGTATTGATCATGCTATCGCTTACTGTTGTCTATATATTTTTTACATCTAAGAAAAAAATCACTTCCTATTGTTAGAATAAATTACTTAAAAAATATTTCTTCATAAAATTTGATATTATTCACTTATTTTTCTATTATATCCATGAAAATAAAATAATTAAGCATTGAAGTATTAATTATAAACTCCAAGGGATTTTCCCTATTAGTAATTTGGAGGGATAAAAATTTATCAAATAAAGGATTCAAATTTTATGGTCGACAACCATTAGGTACTAATTGAGAAAATACAAAATTATTAACTAATAATTCACTTTTAAATAATATATATCTCCAAAAGCAGTTGTGGTTGTTAATAGCTAACATTAATGTATACGGATAGTACAATTGTATTATAATGGACATATCTGAAATATTCCAATTATTTCTTCAAAATTTTAATTAAATAAGGCACTCTATAGTTCAAACATACAATCATTTGTTGTGAAAATTAAGTTTCTGAAAAAGATTCATGATTTTCGGAAATCAATATGGATTTTTTATAATTTATTTTGGTGTTGCCTTTGATATCTAAAAGTCAACACTTATAGATTTGTCTACTATGTCATTTGAAAGATTCTAAAAATTTATAGCAAATATGTACCACCAACAAATAAAAACTTTTTTGTCAAAAATTTGTGTGCCCATAAATTTGTTCTTAGCTTTGTGCTCGGCTTTTAGCTCAATAGTATAACATATGCTAAATTTACGACAGTCCTTGTGTCTGCCACCTATTTCATAGCATATTAGGTTTCGAGTATCCACAAATATTAGTACGCTTTCAACAATTATGTTTATAGTTACACGTATACTAACATTATGAAGTGAAAATTTACAACAATAAATAACTATAATAAAGAAAATTAATTAAAAAGAATATCATCCGTAAAGCTCAAGAATTATTAGTGAATTAGTTGGTAATCTATTATCCTCTTGCAAAAAAATGGACAATTACATTATGCTCATCGCTATTTTTGGAAGGTCAGATGATCAACAATAAAAGTCGGGGAATTTCAAGAAGATTCCCAAAGATGTTTCCCTCCCTCCAGGCAAATGATCGACTTTGCTTTTGGTAGTAGAGAATGGAGCTGTTATACCTGCATAAAACAATGTCTCTTGAAATAGTGTTTATTTTCAACAACTTGCACAATTCCAAATTGATTCATAGGTCAACGCGATCACATATTTTATTGACTTATCTGTTGATCATTATAATTAGAAGCAACAAATAAAATGAAAAGCATAGTGATAAAGATGACTATTAATACCATAGACCGATAGACGCATCCCTTTTCGCTACTTTCTGTTGGCAACTACGGAAAAATAGAAACCTCTGGGCCTTCGAGAGACTATTGGCGCCGGCAACCCAGTTAGCCTACCAAATCCGGCAAATGCGAGTGCAGATTGATCAATCTTCCAGGAGGATTGGGCAGGTTCTCGGGGAGGCTACAGAGCGGGTGGAAAGGGGAAATAGAATAGGGTTTGGGATTTTCACAAAAAGGCTACAATTTCCCCTTTATTAGTTGTTCTGGGCGTCGCCCACCAAAGTGAAAACGCGTCTCCGAGTGCCCAGGTGCCTAGATCAATCGCCTAGAGCTAGACTGGGCGATTTCCTCCTGCCCAACTATTAATCGCGCCTAGGCGAGAGATTAATCGCGTCTTCTTGAACACTGAATAAAAGTGGACCAAACAAAGACATTACATCCAACTCATTTCAGTTCCATCTTAACACAGTATCGGAGGCATGTACTATTATTATACAAATGATCTTACGCTCTCAATTAGGAACTAAACGAAGGTTAAATGCTTGATTGGCAAACTAAATCGATGAACCTAGTGATCTTAAAGAAAAAATTAATGATCACATGATTTCTTGGACCAAACTACTAAAGGAAAAAAAGAAAAAAGAGACCGTACATTAGCATAAGAACTCAACAAATTACTTATAAGAACTAATGACATAAGGAAAATGTAAACTCAAACCGTTCTTCCGAAGGTCATGGATTAAATTATTAGTTGTCGATTACATAGCCTAAACTGCAAGTTATATCCAAAATAGAGGCAATTTAGAAACAAAAAAGTTAGATAAGAAAGCCGTGAAACACAGAAAAATTGAGTGAACAAAGTGAGAAGTATTGCTTTCAATTAAGCTTGATTATGTTGACATAAAGCAGGCACACATTGACGTTGGAAACCTAAACAAAAAGCTTAAAAAGTGGCAAGAGAATTCTTCCCTTGAGGTTCAAATATAGCCTACCTATATGAGTAGAGCCAAGTAATTACCATGATTCCATTTTACACATACCATCTCACAACCAACTGCTGCTAATGCTCTGGTCCGTTCCAAACCTCACCTGCTCATATCTCCAATACCATATCACGAAACCAAGAATTATACACAACTAAGAGATCCAATAAGGAGAGTAACTTAGCATGGAACTTTGTGATGGGGGCAAATTCTATGGTCAGTATTAAGATGTGCAAATTATATCACCTCTGCAAAGCTCACTACTTCCAGTAGTTTCTCACAGAACCAGCTACCGTCCTAATCCCTTTCTTCCTTCCTTCCCAGGGTCAGAGTGTGAAAAATGGTGTCCATCTCCGCCAAAACCACAACTTCTTCCTTCATCCATGCATCTCTCCGTCGCAACCCCTCTCTAGGGGTTTCCTCCGCCCCAGTTCTCGGTGAGTACTCTTGACGCCCCCTCCCCTGAAATTCACAATTACCTCTGGCTTTTATCAATTCAGCTTGGGGGAACCAAGAAATTGAATCGATTGGGTGATATGCAGGGCTGCCGTCGATGGCGAAGAGAGGGAGAGTGGTGAAGTGCTCGGCGTAAGGAAACGGAAAAAATGGCAGCGGGTGGGAGAAGAAGGGGATGATGAGCGCTTCGTTGATGGCGGCGGTGGCCGCAGCAGCTGCGTCGAGCCCAGCAGCGATGGCTCCTCAACGGATGCGAGTAGCTGGAGCGATTTGTAGCGACCTTCTAGAGGCTGAAGCAGAGAAGAAAGAAGAAGCAGGGTTCGTGGCGGTGGGGGAGACGGTGGTGGCGGCGGCAGTAGTTGTGCTTCTCGCCGGAAGGGAAAGCCTCGATCGTCGACAACCTCTTCGCCACGGAGATAGTTCGCTGCACTCCCAAACGCGATCTCCTCAGTCGTAGCAGAAGCGGGCCGTCACTGCTTTCCGCCACTGACCACCAAAACGTCTGGTCGTCTTCCCATGAACTCAGCAACAGCCGGCCGTCAGCGCCTTCTTCCGCTGAACACGAAACCGTGACGCCCTCTTACCAGAATTTTCCGATGGAAACTGATTCTCCTCCTGTCCTGCGGGTAGGCGAAATAATAACGTGGGAACCCAGTAGAAAAGGTGGTATTTCAGCCAAACGAAAATTAAATGAAAAATAAATAATAACTAAATGATAACGTGGGAAACCAGGAGAAAAATGTGGGTAGTGGACGATTCTTAGTTCTGCAATCTGGCGGGGAGTTATATTTTTTTCCCGCTCAACACCCTGCCACATCAGCTTCCTAAAATCACTCTATGGACAGGAAAATTTGAATGGGGGTGGCGGTTTTACTTTTCAGCTATAAATTATACTGTTGATACAGTGTCTCAAGGCCTGAGTTTGGTATAATGCTATTCTGCCAAATCTTCCAGTACAATGCTAGATAGTGGTCGCTGACCTGAACGAAAAGTTCGATACTTTAGCTGGGTTTAACATGATTACATTCAAACACATTCTTCACTTCACAAGCACCACTCAGAATTTGCCACTCAGCCAACTTAACTAGCATAATTGCATCCTTTTATTGTAGTAGTTGTTTTGGTAGGTGCAGACGTGCAGTAGCAGTTCAATTGCTCCAAGAATTCCTCACTGCTTCGGGGGAGGTTGATACCAGCCCCACGGATCACTCGAGATATACTTGGTGACTTGCTTCACACTCAAGTAATTGTCGAGTCCCCTGTCAAGAAGCAAAAACAACAAAAATGTCTTACCTTCAGAATCATACTGAAAAATCTTCTGAAACTACTGTTCAAACATTACCCTAGGTTCAAACTTCGGCGTCGATGTTCACGTGTCAGGAAAAAACGTCTGAGTTTTTTTATGAAATAAGAAACGTACCATTCTCCGAGTTCACGTCCAAACCCACTGCGTTTGATGCCACCCCATGGTGCTTGAAAGAAACATGGCTGCGAGCAGTTCACCCAAACACAGCCTACCCGAATAGCCTGGATACGCAAACACAGCAAATTCTTAGTCTCCTTTCACAAGTTATCCCATTTATGGAACTCCACATTATATAGCTTTTGCGACGTTGGATCTCACCTTGCTCACACGATCGCACCTCTCCTCGTCATTCGAGATCACGGCAGCAGCCAAGCCGTATCTGTGGATACATGCACAATGCGATCAGATGACAGAAAGATAAACATAAGGATCAAAGAGCAGCTTCTTAGATATAACAGAATAAATATGAGTAATAACTCACTCGCTGTCATTTGCCAAGTCAATGGCTTCATCTTCACTGCCAAATGTTTTGACACAGAGAACAGGACCAAAAACTTCCTCTCTCCATATTTCCATGGAGGTGGTCACATCAGTTATAATAGTTGGTTCAACGAAGAATCCCTTACTTAAATGCTGCAATTCATTTAGACGGAAAACAGGAAGAATTAACATTAAAGTTCTTGAACAGATAAAGATGTAAAAGAGTCGGCAAGCAAAATAATGAACTGTTAAGTACCTTCGGGCGAGTGCCACCCGTTAAAATAGTGGCACCTTCACTCTTGGCGGTTGAGATGAAGTTCATAACTTTCTGATACTGAATGACAAAAGAAGGTTATGAGCAGACAGAAATGAGTTCAAGGTCAGCAGACGACATACTGAATCTATCTGAAAACAAGTCAGCTGGTAACTCCCACCATCAGTACCCATATACAATCATGATCACAATGTTTTATGATTTGACGAGACAATGCATCGTGAAGCATAATCGTCCCAACCACTCTTGAAGGGAAAAAGAATTTGAAATTTACAAACAGCAGAACTCTAATTACCTGCCCTTCGCTAACAACTGGACCAAGCCTACAACCTTCTTCCAGAGGATCTGATATTTTGATGTTTTTTACCCATTTGACAAGCCTGTCAAGAAACTCAGCCGCTATGCTTTCCTACAGATCAGACCAGATAGAGAGTTCCAAACAAATTACCAGACCTACACATGAAAGACAGATATGAAAACCCCTGCCCCCAATCCCTCGGACAACGCTTACATGTACAATAAGTCGGGATGTAGCGCTACAGATCTGTCCATTCGTCCAGAAGCATCCAAAGACGGTCCATTCAGCAGCTGTTCGAATGCAGAAACAGGCACAAATAGGTGCTTACAAATATCAGAATTGGTAAGTCTTTTAGCACATATATTTTGGTCACAGAAAAAAAAAACGGCAATGACCATATGTTTTTATCCAAGATCATTCTAAAATGTCGAGGGAGGTACTAACCTTTATCAAGATCTATATCTTCAAACAAAATAATTGGACTCTTCCCACCAAGCTCCATAGATACAGGCTGTCAAGAATTACAAATGACACTCAGCATAATAAAACTAGAATCAGTAAAAAAGGAAACAAAAGATATGCAGGCATACCTTGACTAATTGTGCTGCAGCAGTCATTATACGACTTCCAGTGGCTGAGCTCCCAGTGAATGCAATCTGTCAAGCATTACAGTCCATGACAGCATGATATGCATGCATGTGAAGATCAATATGCTAAGACCTGGTTTAAAATATTTCACAAGGACGAGACCCATAGCAGATAATTGAACCTTGTCAACTTTGGGATGAGCCGCCAAAGGAGCACCCGCATCAGGCCCCAAGCCAGTTAGAATGTTGAGTACACCACTGGGTAGACCAACCTCTTCGCAAATTGCAGCGAGCTCCAAGCAGGTCCTGGAAATTATAAACAGTTCAACTGATTCATTGCACAACAACCAAAAGAGAAAAGAGATACAATTTTAATTAAAACCATTGCTACATACAAAGATGAAAGCTCAGATGGCTTCAGTATAGCAGTGCACCCGGCAGCCAGAGCAGGAGCCACTTTCCATGTGGCCATCAATAATGGGTAATTCCTTCAAAGCAAGAGGTGAAATCGAATTATCAGCAGACTAAGAAAGAATAATCCCATTCATCACATGACAAGGGAATTTCTGATTATCTTAGATGTTTATTCATCGACATTCAAGTCCCACAGACGAAAGCAATCAACATGACTTCAACACAAAACTATTCAATGTTCAAGTATTGAACAAGACATCTAGGCATTAAAATTTCTGGTCTTCCTATCCAAAGATCAACATCGCCCGGATCATGATGTTAAAGAAAATTCTGCCCGTAAGAAAAGGTAACAAAGCGAAAATACAGCAAATATACCAAGGAGTGATCAATGCAACAACCCCAATAGGCTCCTTGAGAACATGGCTCTTGAATGTTTCCATGGGAAGGGAAACCGGAGCCCCTTGCTTCGCATCGAGGCCTTCTGCAAGGTCAGCATAGTACTCAAAGCACCCAGCAACATCATCCTAGGAAACATCATAGACAAAATAAGGCAACAGATCCTCGTACTGACAAAAGATGTAGGTTTCACCATAGCAGGGACAGATAAAACATCATAAAAATGCATACCATGTCCCATGCTGCTTCATCGTACGGTTTCCCACAATCAATTGATTCAAGTTTCGCAAGCAGAGGTTTCTTCTCCACTACCTAAATTGCCACCATAGACACGGGGAGTAAAGATTAAGAAGGTCAGATTCAATTGAAATGCACCAGAAGCAATCGCCAGCTAGTACTTTACTACATTCACCTTAGCAGCAATTGCTCGCAGATACTTTGCACGAGAAGCACCAGAGGCAAAGGCCCAATCTTTGCCTCTGTTTCTATAAAAAGCTTTGTGGGCTGCTTCGACTGCCACATCGACATCTTCGGCAGTAGCAGCTGGGATATCACCTGGAATTCAATTCCACCCCCACAGCATCAACAACTGATCAGCTTCAATGAAACAATTCAAGCATCCACTCGGAATAAAAGGTTTCATACAATCATAGACAGAGGCTCAGAAGGAAGAAAAGAAACCCATACCAAGGATCTCTTCAGTGGAAGGGTTGATGACCGGGATGCATTTGTTGAGGATGGGGAGCTTCCAGGATCCATCGATGTACAGCTGACGAGTAGGAATTGGAATTGCCGCCATCCTGTCGTCTACTTCTTCTGAATATGTGTTGGAACTGGAAGTGATGAAGTGAAGCTGGGAGTGGTTGACTTGTTATAGTCCGGCTGAAGTGGAAGGGGAGAATGGATGAAGTTCAGGAAAGACATCGACAGGTGGGCCATGGCTAATTTGGCAGAGCATCGATCTAGTAAAGAAAAGGGGTGGACAACGGGAAACGGGTATTTGGGTATACCCAAACCTGTCCCGTTTTTCGAGGGTTACGGGTACCCAAATACCCGTTATATTTGTTGCGGGATGGGATTTGGGATTGACAATCTCAACTTCGGGTACCCGCGGGTTACCCATTAATACCCGTTTGGGTAGTTTGGGTACCCGTATTACCCATTTAAATTATTAAATGTCATTTAGATTTATGCATTTAGCTCAAATCTAAAACCCAACCCAAGCCCAATCATCCAACACATTTCCTATAAGTGACCAGGCCCTCTCTCTCACCTCTCCCTCACTCGGCTCGGCCCTAGGTGACTCGTCTCCAATCCAGTGTCCCTCACAGCCTCACTCGATTTGGCGACTTGCAGCCTGGCCTTAATTGGAGTGAGGAGGACGCTGTTGATGGATAGTTGTATGCCTGTATCTCTCCATTTTCATTTATTTATACATTTGCAACTAGGCAAGATAATGCTACTGCATGTTTTTGCCTACATGATTTCTTCTGCTGGGTGTATTTTGTAAAGTGTGTCTTGATGGATAGCATGTGCTCAGACCCATTATTGAACTTTGGTGGCAGCTTATGAGAACGTTTATTTGAAGTGTAATTTTAATATTTTGTTCTAGTGATTTTGTAAATGTTTTCATTATTGAACGGGTATAAACGGGTAGTTTGGGTACCCGTTATTCGTCCCGTACGGGTTTACGGGTACCCGTTACCCGTTCGGGTTTGGGATATGGGATGAACTTTGGTCTCTAAATGGGATTGGGTACCCGTTTCAAACGGGACGGGTACCCAATCCCATCCCGTTTTCCACCCCTAGAAAACACAATAGTAGCTATGCGGTCCGTTATATATTTTTTAGGGTAAAATAAACCACGAGAATTATAGAAAGTTGGTTTGGATATGGAAATGTAATGCAGTAATTGGACTCAATTTGACATTATCAAGTTTTCTTCCTTCTATTTTCAAACGGGGTTGAAGACACATTTGGTCACTGAGATTACTAAATCGGGACATGTTTTTAAAAGTTAATATCAAATTTGGTCACTACAATTACTAAAACATGACACATTTAGTCACTCGCCGTTAGTTGCCGTCCAACTCCGTTAAAAGAGTCCGTTATGTGCTGACGTGGCTAACGTGAGTGCTTAGTCAGTGCCGTTTTGGTCCGGAAATAGTCAAACCCGACTTGCCATGTCACTAAACCCGCCACGTATTAAACCCAGCTCAATCCATTAACCCAACCCGGACCCAGAAATAAACCCTAACCCACCTGTTTGAGCCTAGAATGTACTAGGCGGTTATGAGGCTCTGATCTGGACTCCCTCGTCTGATCTCCTCGGGAGTGGAAGAACCTGTGAGGCGGGGGGCCGCCCCCGGGATCTACGCTCTGACGCCCAAGTTAGTACGATATAGGAAGCGGTTTATGGTATGTAAAGAGAGAGTTTAGAGAGAGACCTTAGGCTAAGGGTGTGGGAAGGGAAGAGAGGATCCTTACCTTGGAGGCTTTGGCCTCCTTATATAGAGCTTGGACCTCCTTGAGTGGGCTTGGGCCCGGAATGCCTTGCAGTGGGCTTGGGCCCGTTTATAGTCATGTAGGCATATTAATCCATATCCCAACATCACCTAACCAGACCAGAGCCCACTTCTGAAACCTCGCTGGACTACTCGATGTTCACGGTTTGTGGTCCATGTTCACGGTCTAAGGAGACCGTGAATTGCCTTGTCCAGCCGTGAACTGCGGTTGTCTTCTGGAAGCCTTCACTTCACTGCTACGAGGCAATTGTCACGGTCGCTTCGGACTTTTCTTCGGTTTTTGCGCTTTTTTGACCTCCAATTATCCCAAAATTTGACATCGACCCTTCCACACATGCTAGGACCTGAAATGTATCAAAACAAGCACAACCTAGCGTGAAATATGTCGAGGAACGATGAAATGCTAAGCTAAAAGAATAAGAAATGAGGGGTAAAATGTGTACATTTGGGCCCGAATCAATTAGCGGTTTAAATAGATCTTCTATTATTGATTTTATATATTTATTATTATATTATAGTAAATTTATTATTTCTTCTTGATATTCGTTTATTATTTTTACTAATTTATCTATTTTATTGAAAAAATTTCATTAGTCATTCTAGCAATACTATGTTAAGAAGGTTTTCTATTTTTTATATTAGATGTTGAAATATAGTTTTGGATGTTTTAAAAAGCTTTTGGTACCAAAAGATAATTAAAATTTTGGGTTGGATGGAAAACTAGACGGATGCACCTTTTGGCGACTTTAATAGTACTCGACGCCATATACAAACTTAAGTGATATGTTTGCCCTAATTCTCAAACTTAAGTGGTATCCGAGGTATTTTTCCCATATAGTTTACATGAAAATCGGTATGTTTGGCATTCTAGATATAAAATAGTACTCTAAAATTAATTTTAATTTCAATTCCAAAATAAATATGATATTCCCATCTCAATATATTTTTGTACGATATCAGTATTCTTTTTTTTTTTTTTGTGAGAAAAAGAGCGCAGAGGGACGCCCTAACCCTTAACTATTAATCACACGAGGGGTCTGAATACCCAAAGTATCAAAGTACAGCCAGTGAAGCAGAGTGGGACTCGGATTTTCAAACACATGGACACCCACCTGTAAAGCGTGCCCAACCGAGGCAAGATAGTCAGCAACGACGTTGCTCTCGCGGAAAACATGACCGATATGCACCTCCCACTCCTTGGCCAGCAGTTCGCAGACCGCAGACACCTGGACATAATGCGGATGGCCTGGAGTAGCTTCCTGTATGAGTTTAACAGCCATAGCTGAATCAGTCTGCACCAGCACTTTCCGGCATCCCTCCTCCCAAGCGAGCTTCAAACCGAGCACTATCCCTGTCATTTCCGCATGTGTGATAGATCCACCCACCAAATTGGCCGAGAAGGCCTTAATGAAACGACCTTCATCATTCCGAATCACTCCCCCCGCAGCAGTACTCGCCTGTCCTCCCGTCACTGAGCCATCCGTGTTGAGACAAAACCAACCCCTCGACGGTCTCTGCCAACCGATCATCGCCAAGCTGCGAGAAGGACCATCCCCCACAACTCTTCTCGCCATTGCCCCAGCCAAATCAACCTGCCGCCGCAAAGTTCTGACCTGGATTAGGAACTGTTGCATTGAGTATCACTGCTTTTCAAAAACCCAGTTGTTTCTGTTCTTCCACAAATTCCAGCAGGTGATGGCGAATAAGGATGAATCAACAACCTTACTTCGGTCTAATAGATAGTGCATAACCCAGCGCTCGATATTGGTATCAAAGAACACTGATGTCGGGTTCATCTGAAAGAATCTCAGCCCAAACAGCCCGTGCATACGAGCAATCACGAATCACATGTAGTGTCGTTTCTGGTCCACCGCCGCAAACAGGGCAGCCATCCACCGTAGTTAGGTGGCGTCGACGTCTCTCGGCGTTGGTCAGTAACCTATTGCGCAAAACAAGCCAAAAGAATGGCTTTAGTCGCTGTGGCCCTTCAATTTTCCAGGCTGCCTTCCAAACCGGGTGACGCCAGCCTTCACCCTCCCCTTCTGCAGTTAACTCGTAGGCTGACGAGACGGTGAAGCGGCCAGATGGCGAGAGCCGCCAGAAGGGAGTATCCGCCTCTCCTGCATGCGGAACCGGGTGGAGCTGAAGTTGCATAACCACCGCTTCCGGTAAGTAGATTCGCGCATAGTCCAGATTCCAGCTCTCGTTTAAAACCATATAAGCAACCTTTACGTTGGCCGCGTCTGGTGGTAGATTCTCGGCCAGCTCACCAAGAGGAGGGCCATCCTGCAGCCAAACATCTTCCCAGAACCTTGTTCCCAACCCATTCTGCACATTCCACATGATCCCCTTAGGTAAAAAATGAAGGATCCGCAGTACTCCCCTCCAAAGATTCGACAGTCTACCCGTTGTACGCGGTACCCAACCCTCTGCTGTGCGGCGTAGATATTTGGCATTGATTACTCTCGCCCACAGGCTATCCGGCTCTGTTAACAACCTCCATGCAATCTTCATCATAAAGGCCTCATTCATGCGGGTGGCGTTCCGCAGTCCCAGACCTCCTTCCGTCTTTGGCCTGCATACCGTTTCCCAGTCCACTAGGTGAAGCTTTCTTCCCTGCTCCGAGCTTCCCCAGATAAAACCACGAATCTTCTTATCAATATAGTCACGAACTGCTGCCGGGAGAAAAGATGGCAGGGTAATACGAGCTGCTAGCGACAGAGTGGCTACTTTCCAACCAGCTAGCCGTGCATCGATCCTGTCAATAAGGTCAACAAACGTCGCCTTCGAGACCCGATCATGAATAACCGGAACACCCAGGTACCTGCCTAGGTTCGAGGTTTGCGGGATGTCCATCGCATCACTCAGGTGCTTGCAATCAGGAGCACTTATGTTTTGGGAAAAGAAGATTCTAGACTTCGGTTTGCTCACTTGTTGTCCCGAGGCCGCCCCAAAGTCATCCAGGCACAAAACTCGTTTGGCACAAAACTCGTTTGAGTCTCGTGCACAAGAGTGGGCATTATCGGCTTCAGCCTATCCGCGAGGCATTTAGTAATCATCTTATAGGCCATGTTACATAGGCTGATAGGCCGAAAATGCTCGATCAAATGAATTACCTTCATAATTATTAGTTAAATAAAATAATGGTTAGAATACCTCTAATATGAACATTTTTATATAGTTTAGACTTGTAGGTTTTATTTCATGATTGAAAACCTTGGTGGTGGGAAGTTGAGGTGAGAAAAGTTTAATAAAAACTTATCGAAGTCTCCATTGAATGGATTCAATCGGAGTCTTTATTGAATAAATTTATCACATGTCCCATTGGGGACTTCGAGACTAAGTAAATGTCTTCAGTTTGCCTCAAGATAGGCAGGGACAAGGAGAATAAATAAGTTGGCATATCTATATTTTCC